AAATATAATTAATAATATATATTTTATAAAATTATTAATATTTTTTATATAAAAATATAAAATAAAACCGGAACGACCCGTTCTGAAACCGAAACGGGCCGTTCTGAAACCGAAACGGGCCGTTCTGGTTGCATTTTCGGTGTGTTAATTTTGCACCTGGAACGGGCCGTTCCGGATGCAAAGTTAACACACCAAAAGTGCACCCAGAACGGCCCGTTCCGATTTCAGAACGGGCCGTTCTGGGTCTAGGTGTTTTCAAAAAAATTCTCATCCACGTGGCATCCACGTATGCATCTACGTGGCGTCCACGTGGCTAAAAGTTAACACCGTTAAAGCAATTTGGACGGAAGTCCCACATTGAAACCAATTAATTAATTTGGGACTAAATTGAAACACATTAATTAGTTTGGGACCAAATTGAGACCTAAAATAAAAGTTGGACTACATTGAAACAAAAAAAGATTATAAGGGACCAAAATAGGTTTTTAGCCTAAGTTATTTTACACCGAAAATTAATTATATATTTTAATTTTACTATATTATTATTAAAAGTAAATGTGTTTATTTTTTTTATTGGTTCGTCCTTGAAGTATCCACCGTCAATAACAATGATTAATGGACATCTCAAAAGGTAAGATAGCTGACCCCAAGATTTAACGCGACTGCATACACAAGGTAGGATTCGAACCCCTAACCTTGCTTAAACGTGGATTAACCCCTATCGCTAAACCACACGCTTGACACAATTAAAAAATATAATTAATTACCAGTATAAAAAAAACTTTACACTAATAATATACAGGTGATTAATTCGTTAATAATTACACTCATAAATCATATTTTAGAGACATTCTCTTAATACTAGTAGCAAAAAAGCCATCCCTTCCCTTCTTAAAAAAAATGAGAAAATCATAAATTTTTTGTTAATTTTTATTGTTTTAATATTTATAACAGTTTTTTTAATAACTTCTAAAGGTAAAATAGATATATAAATTATAAACACTAAAGAAGAGAATCTCTTTTATTATTGATATAGATAATATAACAATATTTTTCGTAATTCATAATATAAACAATTTTAGGGGATAGAAACAGAAAATTTGAATACGTGTGAACAAAGGAAGTTATCAAACTTTCTACAAAACTTTTAAATTGTAACCAAAAAAAGAAATAATCCTTCGACGTGGTCTTTTAAAATTTTTTGGGCCCAATAAAAGGTCACATTCTCCAAACAAAAAATTCTGGCCCATTGATTTTAGATATTTCAACCATAAAAAAATTTACCTCCTTACGAATTAAAATAGTTTCACAAGTGGGCAGAAGGTTTTTCAACCTACTGCAAACATCTCCATTCTTTTGTCTCTCTCCCTGAATTTGTTCACTGTTAAAACTCTGCACATAAGGTCAATTTTATGTTTCCTCACACAGTTTCTTTACACACAAAGCTGAAATTATTCCTATTTAGAAACACTCATCTTGTCGCTTCTTTTTCGCGGTCTTCTAAGTCTTCGGTACCGACCGAATACTATCTCCAAAGGGTGGAGAGAGTACCTGCAAAAGCACTCCAACGCTCAAGTAAGTATTCGGTATAGAGCAATAAAGACTTTTATATGAGATAAATCATACCTGCTTTATGTCCCATCACCTGTGTATTTATAGTGACGTGTTTGGGCCTGGTGGGCCTTCTATCTTGGGAGATGGGTAATCGTTCGATTAGGCTTGATCTTTCTTAATTAGGTGTGATAAGCACTGTGTAATAGATAACCTAACTTACCTTTTTCCTATGTGGGTTTACACTCTTTTGAGTTTTCAGCCAAACTTTTGGCCGAAGGGGTATTCGGTTATTTTCATCTGCTTAGGTGTTCGGCCTTCCTCAAGGTCGAAGGGGAGTTCGGTCGAGCTCGAAGCTGAAGGGGTCTTTGGTAACATTCGAAGCCGAGGGGGTCTTCGGTCACGTTTGAAACCGAGGGGTATTCGGTTTCATTCAAGGCCAAAGGAGTGACTCAAACGTTTTCCCTTGATGCTCTCTTGCCCATTTTCGGAATAGTCCTTTATCTTTCCTTGCGGGATAGGTATTCGACCATTCGTTCGGTCGAGGAGGGGGTTAGTTACCTTTCGGCTGTTGTCCTGGCCGAAAGGGTGTTTGGTTTGGATGAAGACTTGTCGGTTGAGGAGCTTCTCTCGGCCTCTTGTCAGGCCGAAGGTACCCTTCAGCCTAGGATCTAGCTGAGGGGGGTGTTTACTAGTACAGAAATCATTCATTCACGGAAGTGAAAACATTTCTCGACTTTTCAATCATCGATGATAATGTGTTGTTGTGTTGTTCTTCACTTATGCAAAACCAAAAGAAAATTTTGTTGTTTAAATTCTTCTAATCAATAAAAGGAAAAAAGAAACACGAAATATATACACAAATCATCGGTCTTGGGTAACCTCATTTTTGTTTTTGAAATTTGAATTTGAATTGGATTCAAATGAAAACCAAATAAATCCCTGTATATAACTCGACAAAATCATGTGTATTGCATGAAACCCTAACTCTGTCTGGTGTAGTTTTCCCTTTTGATTTCCTTCTGATAGTGTTTACTTACGTTATGGCTACAAACTTCAACTTCAACTCTGTTGTTGAAATTTCTCCCAAGAAAGAAAACTGCAAAATCATGGTAAGGGTGGTTTGACTTTGGATGGTTCGTGATTTTGGAGGCCAAAGATTACTAGTTTCTTTGGAATGGTGTTGCTCAAAGGTGATTATATTTACCCAATACATTTTTTGCATAAATTTTTATTGTATTTATAATTGATAAATTTATAGTTTTTTTATTTAATCTTTATTTATCATTTTAGGGGGATAAAATTCATGGTTTTATAAGAAGGACACCCATCTTCAAGTTTCGAAAAGATTTGAAGAAGAGTTTTGTATAGTATGTCCAATATTTTTTTTGTTGATAAAAATAAGGATATATATAAAACTTGCCACTATAATCACAAAACCAATTTCCTGTATTCAACTAAGGTAGCATTGGTCAATAATGATTCATTCCCTACGATAACCTACAATTTTACTACTATTTTTGATATTATTGTTGGTAATGTTGACATCGATTATTTAATAGGTAAGTTTACATGTCTTTTTCAAAGTTTATTGAACAATAAACTTTACAAATTTACCTATGTATCATATTGAATATTGGATATTTAGTTTAATTAGATGTATTAGACTATTGACCGATGTGGGAACTCAAAGAGAGCATGATACACATACTTGGAACAAGATAAATATGAATATCATTTAACTAGAGAATGGGGTGTAGAATTCAATTCCAATATTTTCTTTGTTGTTATGTATTGAACATAAAATTCTAAAAATCTCTTATTATGTGGTTTGTTTTGATTTTTTAAAAGGGATAGGATTGATAATACTTTGTCCGGGTCATATGTTGATGAACTGAATGTATTCATTGTTGTCGGAGATGTGAAAAATATAATTGTAATTATTACTTTAATAGAAGTCAAGATCTTCCAAGATCATTCATCTATTAATTTTCTTCAAAAAAAAAATTTGTCTTACTAATTTGATGCACTTTTTCATTTTAAACTTAAAATGTGTGAAATTTAGTTTTAATGTGATAAAATTTAGTTTTAATGTAGGTCAAAAATTGGGCTAAAAAATAATAAGGAAAGATGAAGAAGAGGTAAAGAGAAGGAGAAAAAGTTTAAAAAGAAGAAGAAGGAAAAAAAAGTGGCACTAACACTGCCAACAACTTAAAAAGTATAACTATAATGTTAAACCATTATAATATAAGATTTTGTTTATATAATAATAATGACGTATAAATAGATATATGTTAATATAATTCTTTTAAATACCTAACACAACTAAGCATACAATTCTATCATAATTGCTATCAGTTTTTTCTCTCCCTTTTTTTAATACATTAAAATAAATTAGTACACTGAAGAACTTAAATAATCATTAATGGTTACTTTTGAAAATTAATGTGACTATTATATAACATTTGCACGAGTATTTTGAAACTTAATCAATATTCTAAAGATTGAATGAAGCTCGTAGAATCCAATCCCTAATATATGAATTGATATATTTTTGTATAAATGAAATGTATACAAATACGTTTTGTCATACACTTTCAAATAACATATGTTGTTGTAGTTGTAAATTCTTTTTATATAATCCAAAGGAGAATACGTTCTACTATGTCAATATTTTTAATTTATGATAAATTTGTACGGTTAAAAGTGATTGACTATATAATTTTTTTTTAAAAAAACGTAATTTAATTTATTAGATTAAAATAAAAAAATTTAATTTATAAACCCCAATTTTCTTGCTTGCGTTTTGAGTGGAATTCTTTTCAATTTTCTACGTTCAAAAAGTCTGATAGTTTTTACCTGTTGTTGTAAGTCACTTTGTTCAAAAGAATGAGAGATGTACAAAGAATGAGATACTTATTAATCGAGAGATCCTATAATGTATTTATAGTGGGTATATTATATTTATTTGACATTTCACATTAAAGTGCACCAAACTCATCACGGTTAATAAATATAATCAAGTTTTGATAAATGATAATTTGTATAAAGAAACAGAGCGTGTACGGCATTAAGTGCATCAAATGGATGTAAAGGTTAAAAATAACAAAAGAGACAAGAAAAAAAAACTAAAAAAAGTCATGTAACATATATTCATTTATTCTAAAGACTAAGTCTACCTAAATTTACTCTATTTAATAACTCATATTTTACATCAAATTTCAACGATCCAACAATTAAATTTAAAATTCTTAATACATAGATCGAATTTGCAAACTTTAAAAAAATTAAAAATCATTTAATATTTCATTTAATTAATATATAAATTAATTTAAGCAAGTATGAGTAACCCACGAACCTGAACTAATCCAAATCAATCCAATAAGTTCAGATTAATTTTTTTCGATGTTCGGAACTCATTAGAATGACTTAGATCAATTCGAGTTCACAAGTTACCCATACCCGCTTACACATCTAATGTTTAACACCTAAATTTTCTAGTGTATTATTTTAAACAAAATCTGTTAAACTCCAACTTTAATTATCATAAATTATATTAACCTCCATCTTGGAAGAGGCCAATGTTATCTTATTGACTAACGCTGTCAATATAGGTGTCATCTTAGAAACCATTGTTAAAAAATCCTAAGTTTACATTTATAAACGATAGTTTTGAAAAGGACCTTCAGATAGAATAATCTAATTTCTATATATTCGGTATAAAGAAAACTTACATTATCCACCATTCAGAAATCATCATTGATCAAATATTTATGATAATTATCATAAAAATCAGCAAATTTGCCATCCATAATAGTTTATGATTACATAACCTTAACCAAATTAGATATGTATGGTTTACAACTGATATGGATCATGGATGAATGATCCTTACCACTGTTTGTCTGTTTCAATTAATTTCCACCATAGAAACTAACTCAATTCTATCAAAACCTACCCACTTATTTCAGCTGTATAAAACTTATGCTTTCTACCGTTAATTCACTCCATCTTTATCCTTATTAAGATAAATGGTGACAAGAAAACGACAACAAATCAAAAATTTAAATTTCTCATTAAAGGTGGATTAAAAATGGCTGAGATGACATCATAAAAATCAATTGAATCAATTTAATGACCAATGACTGTCTACTATGTTTAGTTAAATCGTTGTATGCATAGAAATGGAGAAATACTTCGAAGTTCAACACGTTTCTTAACTGCTCTTCTGAAAGGCTTTCGATTTTGCCACCTTAGACATTCTATCCCACCCGAATACCTAAACTCACTATCTTCATTCCTGGTTGCGAACATGTTGCAAGTGAGACTGGGTACGTCTCTCTTCTGTTTCTTTCTAGGGTTTGAATGCCTGGGAGATGGGGTTTTAGGCTCCTCAAATTTACCACTAGTTAATCTGCAAAGCATAACAGATACTAACTAAAAATACCAATAAATAAATAGATGAAATAACAGCCTCAGGCATAAATACTAGATTTCAGCCAGCATAAACCTAACAAATTTTATTAAGAAATGTTTCTAATTCCTATAATGATGCAACAGAACGTGCTTTTCTGCTGGTAATCTGGACCTCAACTAATTATCCTTTGAAATGGCTGGCTAAAAGCCTAAAAGGTAACATTTTGATAATCTCAAGCAAAACACACCCCTAAGCCAATATACAAAGCTACTCTCAAACTAATTAGAGATGCATATGATAAACTGACCTGTCATGGTTTGAAGGAATTCCTTCTGTACACGGGTTACATGCGGGACAAATGTAGATCTCTCTTGTGCATGGCAATTTCATGCAATCAAAGTGATACCACTCATTACAATGATAACATGCAATCATCCTTTGTGGATCAAAGGGCTTTCGACAAATGCAATAAAGCATGCATCGTGCCCTTAATATCTGTTGTGATAAAAAATCAATACTTCATTAGAATCATACCAAAATCATGATGCAAATAACAATCTCTTGATTTTAATAATACAGAAATGATAATCTCTTACCCTTAGTTCCTCGTTCACATCAACCGGCAAGTTTTCACCTTCCACTATAATTTCAAAAACTTTATCCAGGCTGAGTGCCCCAGAATCGGTTGCCACCTGTTCACAATATTTAAATATTAAAAGCCAGCATGAGCAAAGAAGGACATGGAGGAATTACCCAACAAAATCAGAACCTTTTTGGCTAGTTCTGCCCATTGCGAACCCAAGCAATTCACATTTGTAAGTTTCAACATATAATGATCTTCAGGTGATATGTCCATAGCCAGTCCCTGTCACACACTTAGACATTTCAGTAGGTTCATAGTTGTTTGCATCGGCAATAAATTTTACAAAAAGAGAGAAGTGAATAAGCACTTGAAATAAATAAGGAACAAATTTATCTTGATTTTGCAATGCACCCACAAAAACAAATAAACCTAGCCAACTGTACATACCTCCTTCAGATGCTTCTGAATTTGTTGGATAGTGGGCTTAGGTACACCATTTAACAATCTATTCACTTGAGTTTTCCAAAAGTTTTTTGCTAAAGCCATCTCAAGGTCACGAGTATCATTCTGATCATAGACAACAGCCACTTTGCTAGCCTAAATTCAATAAGCAAAATTAACTCAATTGTAACAACTGTACGTGAAATAATACAATAAATAGACATATATGAATCTATACATGCCTTGACAGCAGTGGCCAATTTTTCAGAGACAACACTAATATCTTCGTCAACATTAGCTGATGCAAATTTCACAATTTCTCTCAAGCAAGATTTGCATGAAAGGGCTTTCTCAACAAGTTGACTCAAAAGATCTCTTTCATCAATCCTGCACATAAAAGATACACAAAACAGATGAATTACAATTTTTAGCAATGTTCATAAATCTACAATGAAGACTGTTAAAGGTAAAGAAAACAAGAGACAGACGATGGAGTCCATCTGTCCAAACGCACAGCACACTTCAATTATAGACCAAAAAACATAAACACACTTAACATATTTACAGTAATTACATGATTTTGTTGAGGCTATAAACATAAACACACTTGTCATATTACAGTAATTACATGATTTTGTTAGGCTATATATATCATGAACCTAAACACTATTTACATCTTCGAACAAAGATGAAGTCCATGACCCTTATAGAACACTATCCACTGGACAATATAGAAAAAAAGAGAAAACCATGAAAGAAACTGCAGAAATGTATGTAATTTCATGAGTGGCAGTTTGAAGAGCTCACTCTAATATGATCCAAAATGAATGTTGTCATGCGAACTGTTTCTGCTCTTTTTTTTTTCTTCTCTTTTATGTTAAGATTTTATAGACAACACAAGACATGGTACATAAATGACATTAATGGATGATGACCAGCGCCAATGCTTGGAAAAATGATACAACACTTACAGGTATTTCTACTTCTGACTAAAAATGGAAATTAAACTAATGGTTTGCCAGTCTTAGCATGTTACATTTAAATTAAGGGTTCATGAGAGCAATAAATCTTATGGAAGAAAATTGAGGTCATTTATACATTCTGTACATAAAAATTTAATATGAACCAGATTACCATAAACAGAAATGTTCAGCATCAGACATGAGTTCAGTAAGAACTTTCAATTCAATTCGCTTCTTTCTAAACCTCTGCAAAAAGCAAAAAAAAAAAAAAAGGTAGGCAAATGAGTTTCTGAAAATGAGAGGCACAAGCACACACTAGTTGACTACTGCTAAAATGACATAATACCCTACCAGGAGGGCACCTCCATTCTGATAATGGAAATCACCCCTCAAAATTTCACAATAGGGGCACGTGTAGTTTCCAATTTGTACGTCTTTCTCTGTTAGTCCAACACACCGCAAATGATAGCTGTCCATAAGAAAGATATTGATACACAGAACAAATAAATCAATATAAATTCTTAATAACGAAATAAAAGAACAGAACCAACAATGAAATTGGTTTCAGACCAAATGGCAATTGTTTCCTTAATCAGAAAACTAAAATTGTAAAGAGTAGAATTCAATCTTATTATTCTTTACTGTTGAAATTCTGTGGTTTTGGGATGGAGCAAGAGAGACAAAAGAGAATGAAACATTAATTGATATTACATGTACTACAATGTAATGATGTGTTTGACATGTTGATAGAACCAATAGCATGAACCCCAATTTATACTAAAATCATAATCCTAGCTAATTAGGGAAACAAATCATGACAAGATAAGGAAATACCGTAACTAATTTTAAGAAATAAAGTGGAAACAGGAAAACAAATCCCAGATGATAATTTGAGATATTTTAAGATATAATACAATATTTTCATATATTCCAACATTTCTTCTTTCCAACAATATATGGGCTCCTCTAAAGACAGAAAAGATTGTTAAAGAAACTTTGGTACGAAGACATTGGAGAGATTGGGATCAAACCACAATTGGGACAAAAGTCAGGGCCAAACTGCATCACGGACTAAAACTTATACAAAGGTCGATGTCAAATCAACTAGGATATCGACATCCAGGACCAGGGTGATACTTTGGGATTGTTTGGCTGAATCTTTGGGACAACCATTGAATGAGGACCCCCTCCTGCATCTCCGGCCTCTCCAGCCAAAACAAATACATAAAAAAAACAAAAATAAAATAGATGATATAGAAATAAGAGAAAAGTAGAGTTAAAAGAGAGATGGAGAGGGCTGGAGAGGATCCAGATCAGACAACCATCAGGCCAAGGATGATTCCTTGGACTGCCCTGGGGCTAGAGCATGTGCCAAATGGTGTCTGGGACAAAAGATATGGCTGAGCCCCTTCCACCTTTCTCCCCCTCAAAACTAGCATCTCCCATGATAGACTAGAATACAAGCCAGGTACCAAAAGAAGCCAAACAATCATTGGACACATAAATAAGTGAATGGAGCGAACAAATCATGAGATTGATTAGAATCCTTTCTTTGTAGTTGAGCTTGATGCATTAATTGCAATTGCTGTCACTAATGCAAAATGAATCTCACCAAGATGCAAAATTTAAAGATACTTGTTGAGATCCCACATTAACTAGAAATATGGCTAATATACTCCTTGGGAGCATTTGATACATACTAAGGTGCAGTATCAAAGCCTATCCTAGATCCATTATTGGGTCATATGTATCTGTCTATGCTCTAGATGTTCATTACTAGGCGTGATCAAGTGTGTTGAGATTCCATGTCGATTAGAGATATGACTAATGTATCCCTCATAAAGCTTGGTCAGTGCTCATCTTATTGAATTAGGTCTTAAGCCAAAATTCTAAGAATACTCAAATAAGAAAAATCCATGCTTACTACAATGGCTTGTGGTTATTAGTCCTGTAAAGGGGAGGACAGGATGGCCAATAAGGAAGTTGGAAGAAGTGGTCAAGAAAGATCTCATGGAAAATAACATTGTTGAAACTTTGGTCTTAAAAATAGCCAAATGGTTGTGAGATTGATGGAGACCAACAAATGCTGAATTTGAGATACATTATGGGGTTCTTATCAGAGATCCATGTTGCCAACCACACAGTGGCATAAGGCTTTTTTGTTGTACTTCAAATTTTCTTGTGGATAGGGAAGAAATTCAATATCTTTGGAGGCCAAAGACATAGCAGGATACTCCAAATGAACACAAGTAGAATGGTATAGGTCATGTGACAAAATTTGGTGACCAAACGATAGTGAGAGGCTTTCATGGCAAACAAAAAGATGGGCCAAATTAGGTTGGATGACTCATGGTATGATTGCATATGAAAAAAAATGTCGACAGAGACGGCACACACAAAAGACAAAACAGTGGAAACCAGCAGAGAGAGGAAACTCAGCAATAGCAGTAACACTATTCTGTGTGGATGGAAGGTTTGATGGACCTAAAACCACTTGTGTTGGAGCCAGCAGGAACAGGCAATCCAGATCTGAGGGATTTCCAGCCAGAAACTCACTGAACAGCAGTAGATGGTGGATGAAGAACCATTTTAGACTGCTGAAAATAAAAAGTACTTGATTGCAACTGTAGAAGCATTGAAGAAAAGAAAAGGATGAACTTGGGCAGGTTAGACGACTACATGAATTAAAGAAAAAAGATCATTGGACACATATATATACTACTTTTAGAATTGTTCCCTGATTAACTTTAGATGTGGTCATATGTAGATAAAACCTATAGCGTTGTTAACCCATATATATACTAATCATAATCCTAGCTAATCAGGGAAGCAAGTCCTAGATTATAATCTAAAAGATATGATAAGATATTTTCATATATTCTAACATTTACAAAGTGACTGGAATAATAGAAGCAACCACTTACATGAAGATTATAAGCTATTGCCTGATTTATTTTTCAGAGCTATGGAACTGCTATTTTTAGAAACAAGGCAAAGATTACTTTACCAGTCCATACAAGTGGAACAAGTAAGAAATTCCTGATCTTCAGAATCAACAAAGCAGCAGATACATAGGTGTTGTTCCTTCAGATCTTGCAATTTTTCATGTATAAACAACGATCTATCCAGAGTCTGTTTTATCTGAAAATGTCAAGCTAGGACCTGAGTATATGTAATATGCAAATGGGTTATACGAAGGAAAATAATTTAAAATCAAAACCTTCTCCAGTGCATGAAGTGGCGACTTTCCATTTTGGACTAGTGTTCCTAGTTTATCCATGCATCTTTTCTTCCAGTTTTCCACCTTCTCAACTTCAGATAAAACCAAATCCAGTTCGGGGCAACTGAAGGCAATGGTATCTCCATGTACCTGAATGTAAGCAAATAATATCAGGGTTATGCAAGTGATCAGTGATATGTCAAATGTCAAGTCCTAATATGATAAAACAAACCAATAAAGCAAATAATTGTGAAAGCTTTCACTTTTTCAATAACGATAATCACAACTAAGTCACTGACGAATGAATAAGCTTGATATTCCTTCGATCTCAAGAATATAAACAAAATTAAAACAATTGAAAGAAAATGCTTAAACAGAGAGGTTCTGTAAAATACAAGGGACAAGTTATTAATGAAATCAAAACAAACTTGAAGGCTTTAAAAGTAAACTACAGTGAGAGAAAATGAAGAAAGTAAACCACCTCACTAACAATTTGAAGAAAATACAAGAAAAAGCCTTACCACATTGACTAGTAATGTTTTTTCAAATGGCACAGCAACAAAGTCATACAGAAAAAGAATCATAGCTGTGTAAGGCAGCCTAAGTCAATCAGTTGATCAATAGTCACATACATAAAGGTCACCTACTATACATCCAGAAAATTTACCTTGAGCTGCAATATTGAAGACCAAGATCGATCTCTAGAACTTAGACCAAAAAATTGATGCACTTGCTCTTTCCACAACCTAAACAGAAATAAAATACAAATAACTAAGCACATAAAAAATTTAAACACAAATAATTGGAATGGCAAGTCTTCATTCACTCAGTCAACAGTGTCCTACATGATTAAGCAATACATTAGATGATGCAGGAAGGGAGATAGATGCAGTTCAGAAAGCAATATTACAAGGCATAGAATCAATTTGAAAATGGCAAATAAAATCATAGAAAAAAAATTCAAAAGTGTAAAACCTAAATATCTATAAATTTAATTGAAATGTTAATGAAAAAGGAAGACCTTACAAGTTACAATAATAGAAGAGACCAACATAAAAAGAACAGCAAAAGAAGGGTAAATCGCCATTCAAAAGACTAAACAAATCAAACCAACAAAAAAATATAATCTTAATTCAACAACCAACAAATAAGACATACTTATGTTTTCCAATGGCATCTTCAAGTTGACAATTTACTGCTGTAAAGGTCATATTAATAGTCTGCAGAAAGAAGTTGTAAATGTAAGCTGAATGTGCCAAAAAAATTGAAGCATATCTTCAAGTGAGCTATAATAAACTGATTTATTTTAATAATATAACTTCTCCCGAGTATTCAATGCTTCGCACAGGTACACATGCTAGTTAGGTGAAAAAGGAGTAAACAAAAAGTCTCTGATAATATTAACTCTGACATATGATTGATAAGTTGACATGTTGTTAGCTTGTTATAATGCAAAACCACTAGCACCCATTGAAATTTGGGAAAAAAAATATGATAAAGGGCCCGGTAGACAAATAAATTTAAATAAGAGAAATCTAATTATCAAGGAGCAGCACATAGAGGCCTAACAAATCAAAGGATCTCAACAAGAATCAAGCCAAGGAAAAATCAGAGTTGATAACCAGAAATACACCTCCATTTTCCTCGCAGTTCTTTTCCATCAAAAACTTAATCTAAGAAAATCCCAAGTCCCAACACCTGATTTGATTGTAAGCTTTATCCAAAACCAACTTAAAAACTAAAACCACACATTCTCCTTTTGAAATATTTCAAATCCTCATTCACTATACTATTTCTTTTTTCTACTAAAAAAGGGTAAATACATATGAAGGATACTCGCTTAGTTTTACTGTTGCATTCTAACCCTTTTCATTTTTTTTTTTTATAATTTTAAAATTTGCACAAAACAAGCATTTACCCACTTTATTTAATATATCAAACAAAACAAGAAGGATAATCAATTGTTAAAATAAAAAAAATAAAACAAAGAAAATAATATAACCTAGTACCTGATAATCGGTAATAATATCTTGTACGTCAGTCAATTTGCATCTTCTAGAATTGCGAGGTCCAGAAACTGCCTCTAATGCTTTTCTAAGCCATTCAAATCCATCAATCAATACTTTCAACAGAGCACCAGAAAGAGATGAATGAGAAAGACCTTCTGCAACCTCCAAAACGTCCTACATTATAAGCAAGCATCCTTCATCAGTAAGTGCCAAGAAGAACCATTATTTATTTTTTTTCGATTAAAAAAAAAAGAATTTCAATAAAACGCAGAGGAAAAAGTTACAAGGATAACCACTGGAAAAATACAGAAATTAAATAGAGCAAAGATGCTCAATTCCTGAACATATCCTTAGTGAAATCCATCAAAAAGGTCATGTGTAATTTATTAAGAAAAGTCTTTAAGGTGAAAAAAATTATTAAGCAATGAACCATGTAAAGAAAAATTGAGATCGTAGCAACACAGCACAGTTATTCATTTGTAATTGAATGGCAACAAGAAAATAATGATATGATATGAGCATAAAACCAGGTATACTATAAGACATCCAGATTAATGAGGCTATATAACCAGTGACAAGAGATCGAGTTAATACCATACTCTTAAAATTTTGCCAAAATGAACCAATTAGGAGGACACTTAAAATTGTGTAGTGGCAAGGGTATATTTGGAAGAAGAATGTATATGATAAAGGCAGCAGTCAAACACTGAAAGGATGGGTGGAGTAACGAGGCATACGCTTATGTCAAATGAAGTCAAGAAAAGACATTTGAGAAAATGCATCACTCCAACAGAAAATGCAAGTAGATAGAAATAGTAACCTCTAAAGAAGGAGAGCAATTGCAGAAGGACAGGGCTCTTTTGCACCATTGCAGTGTAGAACAACATGCTTGGAGTTTTGAAATCTCATTGAAGTCAAAACCAAGTGATACACCAGATGTTATGGCATATTGGATTCGTGCAATCAAATCATCCACTTTACATATTAAACCATTGTTTATTTCATTTAGAAAGTCATCCAGTTCAAATAAGCACCAAGCATCATCTAATAGAGAACATGCTTTATACTCCCACATTCTGCAGTCCTTCAAAATTAATGCAAGTGACCCTCTTTCTTCCAAAGATACTTTAAGATGCTTTGATTGAGAAACCAACATCTAAAAGTAGAAAATCAAATTGTCATATTCATAGCAATCATGTTTTCAACAAATGTAAAACCACAAAACAAAAAGAACAAAACATGAACCTGCAAGTCCTCAACTTTCCGCACACAATTTGAAGCACACAGAGAAGAGACTAAATATGGCTTTGAATTCCGTAACCAGGAATTAGCTTCTGATAATGCATCTTTGACATCATTAAGTGAAGGAAGAATAACAAATATATTTTCAGAAGCTCTGTAAAAGAAGCCAAAAGCAGAAGTTATCATCAGCCAAAATAACCTTGCTGAAGTTATAAACATAAAATAAATATCTCAAGCATTGTTGAACCTGATCATGTCCTCAAAGTCCGAAATAGAAGCTTCATGTGAAAGCATCTCTCTAGCCCTTTCCTCCCAAGGCATCGCAACAGCAAGCACATGAGATAAATTGACAAATTGTTTCTCTCCCTCAATTTGAAGCCTGAAGAACCAATAACAAAAGCAAATGGTTGAAATAAATAAAAACCCAATGATGGGCCAGTTCAGATGAGGAAAGGAGTTAAAAATTACATAGTGGCCTCCTTCAACAGTTGCTGAATGAAATCCAAAGGCATCTTCAAATCATGTGCCTGTACCAATTTCACATATAAATTTTAATTGTTACAAGAATTGTCCGAGCATGTAATATGACAAAGTTGATTAGCCCCTGCATACTAAACCTTATTTTTTAATATTTAAGCAAGGCCGAGAGAGATGAAAGAACAGCTTTAGTATGAAAAAAAATAATGACTTACCTTCACAGCCCTTTCCCGACAATTAGCCTTCTTCAGCTCAATCTCAACTAATGGTAACTCATCAACTGAAAAATATAAATCAAACCTTGGGGCAGTGTAAATTAACAAGAAAATAAACAAATGCATGGTTTTTGGAGGAAAAAATTCTTAACTCTCGTAAAGATGAGATATTTGTCAATACCTTGAATTTTCAAAGATAAACCTTGTTCAAAAATGCTCCTCAATTCATCAACTGCATTATGTTGATCTTCCAGTGTGTGAACTCTCCCTAAAACATCATTAAAGTGGGAAACCCATGAAACAGCATCTGAATGATATTGCCTTAAAAGCTTCAGCTCTGCTACATCAACTGCAAAAGTGCCCCATTCCTTAAGCAGCAAACCAACATTCTGCAAGGTTCCTTAGTTAATCAAGTTATTCTTTTTAACCATCAAAGAAAATTAAAAGAGGTGAAAAAGATTCGCAAACCTTGAGATTCATAGGACCTTCTAACATATCATGACATTGAGCACTACAAGATTCAGCTTGACTTAATAGATTCTGAAGCAAATCTATCTCCGGGAGTTGAACTTGAAGATCCACAAACTATTGAAAGCATGAATTTCATATTATAACCTCTGTAACTCATGTAATGCACAATGTCTGTGTTCTGTCTGTGTATGATGTATATTACATAAATGCAAAACACATGAAATAATTTAACAATACATAACTTGTCTGTGTAATTAAATTTATCAGTCACTTCATTGTTACATTATAGAAAAACAAATGCCAGTTAATATATTAATTTAATACATAAGTAATAACAATTATATTCCTCTATTATTAATAATTGCCCTGTCACTGTCACACATGAAATTTTAAGCCTTTGCTTTTAGCATTATAAACAAACAGGGAAATTTATGTTCACAGGAACTGGGCTTGAGATACTAACAAAGCCAGATCAGTTTCCAGAGTTCTTATTACCTCTGCTTTTAACTTGTAAAGAACATCAATGTGTAGTGCAGCAGGCTGACTTGCTGAGATGCACTTTCTGACGCTATCCAGCCATGCCTGATGGGTCACAAAGAAATCATGTTAGCAACATGAAAAATAAAACAGTGCACAAAACAAGTTTAGACCCTGGAGTACAGCACAACTGCTCAAAAGCACATAAATTGGGGCAGTTAAGAACATGAGCCAAACTCTAGATTGTACCCAGTAATAAACTCTTACAAAATAGCAATTACCAAGGACAAAATTCAGGTGAACTCTTTCCACATCAATTATTAGCTCCATATATTTTGAAAATAAAAAGACTACTTCAATGCGTTCATTACATGGTATTTTTTAGGGTTTAATCACATTATAGAGATTAGAAGGTAATGTTGATATTATTGCTGTCCTTTTGTTTTTACAATTTGCATGACCTGCTGTTTATGGAGGAGATTTCTGGCCCTCCTACACATAATTCTATTTTCTCTAAATAATTATTTTTTTAGATAAAAAAAATAAGACTTCAATATATTTTTAGTTCCTAAAATTTAGGATAAGTTTGTTTTTGGTCCCTCAATTTTAAAATTAATCTTTATAGTCCTTATAATTAAAAAAAATATTGTTTGAGTCCCTCACAGCTACCAATAGCATAACTAGCAATGAAAAATTGAGACAATTATACAACATCAACCGGATTTAATATGATAGTTTTAACTAACAAGAAAGAACACTAATAGGTGAATTTTGTATGATAGGTTTAAGTGAGTTTTATTACATAGGTTCACTAAGGACATTTGAGCAAAGGGATTAAAATAACATTTTTTTAAAATTACATGGACTGAAAAAAATCAATTTTAAATTTGACGGACCACAAAAACAAATTTACCTCATATTTGAGGGATTAAAGACATATTTAAGGCAAAAAAATAAATTAAACTAAAGAAAGCAGAGAATGAGATAATCATTCCCAACATGAACATAAATCCCTCTAGTCTAGAATCTTCCAAACACCTTTTTCAAAAGTGCAAAAAGTTTGATGATTGACCTAATATTTGACAAGTTCTTAAAACCAACAACTAAGGCCCCACTATAACTTGGCAAGATTTAAGAATTAAAGGGAATTTTTATGAAGGCAAAATGCAAGATCTTCAGCACAAGATTCACATCCTTAATCATTCCCTCCTAGTCCTAGGTGATTGTTAACAAAAATATGTCCAGTCACGACCCTCGTGTTTATATTTGACAGCAACCAAAACTGAAAATGCGTAAAAAATGCAATGAGTTGAGTTTATCCTAGCTCCCACTCATCACCATACTAGGGAAATCATTCCAGGACCTTGAATCTCAAGCCCCACAGGCTTCTAACCAAATCTATTGATTTCCACCAACTAGTTCCATTCACCGGATTCCCTGCACTTTTGATATTCCAACTCAAAGTCATTATAATCATATTTAGCCAATCCCTCCAATCTTTCAAGGCACAATAATTCACTTAAGTTTCAAGTCATTGAAGTTTTTTCTTGAAGCTGTTTTCTCTCTCCTGTTAACATGAGAATTTGGAGACTGATAGGAACCTAGTATTATTAATAAAAGAGTGGGGAAGAACTCCACAATTTACAGAATAGAACACACTGTAGAACTTCGAGGGTTTGCACCTCCAAATGCCCAAAGGTCCCTTTTCCTAATTTATAGGCAATATGCTTTATTTCTTTTAATTATATTGTAACTAACTACTAATGGTTAATTAACATATTGTAATGGTTAACATCTCACATTGACTAGGAAAAAGACCAGTGTAAGCATTATAAGGTTTGGGTAGTTCTTGCAATCCAAGTTGATTTTGTGGGGTTAAATGACCCTGAGCAAAAATTCTGAGATGGTTTCAGGACCTATCCTAGATCTGTCATTGGGCTACCCACATTTGTTCACACTCCATGTCTAGTCCTAAGCATGAGTGGGTGTGTTGAGAATACATCAACCAAAGATATGAACAATGTAGTCTTTATAGAAATTGTTATTGGGCCACTTGCATTTGTCCATGCTCCATATGTTTATTTTTGGGCATGAGAAGACATGATGAAATTCCATATCACTAAAGATATTGCCAATGTAGTCCTCATAAAACTTAGGTAGTGCTCAACTTATAAGTTAGTTTTATAGAGTTAAGTTAGGTCCTAAGCCCAAATTCTGAGAGTAACTAACTATTAATAGTGGTAACTTTCCAGATCCAATTTAACTTCATTCCTGAGAAATCATATCCCCCATGTTCAAGAAAATATACTTCTGTCTAATTTTCAATCTCAGAAATTTATAACAAAAATAGGAAACACCAAATGCAATCTCTTTCCTAAACCCAATCCTGGAGTGGAGGGGAAAGATAGTTTCCAGTACTATTTTAAGTTGTGACAAATAGATTCTGATCAAACTGTGTCTACAGATTCCTACTTGTAAATGAAAAAAAAAAATGCCATTTTGGAGAGAAAAAGTAGTTTCAAAATATAAACAATGTAAATGGAAGATTAAGCATTGAACCAGCAAAGTAAAAGAATGTGCCAAATTATCATGTGTAGCAACATCTACCTTGATTGAAGAAATTTTTGCTTCTAATTTCTTACTTTCTTTCACATGGATGGGTAAGCCACAAGCTTTGGAGTATAAAAGTTCCAACTCAGACATCTGGAATAAATAATTTTAGTCAAATTTAATGGACTAAAAAGAATAATCAAAAAGGTACCACGTGCCATTATAATTGGCAAGAGCATAAATTGTTACCAAATGTATGTACTATCAATAGAAAGTTATGAAGAAAAGACATATGATGAGTCTTGAAGAAAGTACATTTGAACACATTGACCAAGAAGTATCAATCTCCTGAATTAACAACCTTGCTTCCTCTGCATAGTCCTGCATCAACATAAATTAACCAAATTAAAAAAAAAGAAAAAAAAAAGCAGACAATTGCAACTACCAAAGGAACTATTAACAGTCTGTTAAGAAAAGCACCTTCAATTTATGATAAAGGGGCTCATTGCATGGTGCAGGACTAAATCTCAGTAACTCATCAACGAATTCTAAATTAACTTTCTTGACACTCAAGTCCCGACGACACAACTCAATTTTTGTAAAGCAATCTCTTATCCCTTCTGCCCATTTCTGAGCTTCAATCAAATTCTTTACCATGTCTCGAACCTACATTCCAAAAAGAAGCAGAACATAGTTAAGTATATCATAGTGTTTCTAAAGGAGTATGTTAAAAAGTAACAAAATAGAACTCACATAATCCATCTCAGAACCAGCCCAAAGAAATTGTTCAGCTTCGCTTAATGCAGTAACAAATGCAGCATGCAAAAAAACGTTTTGAAGAATAGTACGTGATTGCTGAAGCCATGCTTCAGCAAGTTGGGCAAAAGAAATGGAGCCACCTTTCACCTACATGCATCCAGTAGTCTCAGACGACAATAATGAACTTTATAAACACAAATGTATAGACAACAATACAAATGCTACATAACCATAATAACCTTTACAGTATAGCAGCACAGTCAAAGATATAGAAGCATGAGGTCATCATATGTTATGATTGTAGAAAGATAAGTAAATCTAACAATTGGAAACAATATTATAATTTGGAAAATTTGGATGATTGATAAGTAATATGTATATATGACCTTTTTGGTCAAAGCACTAAGACATGAAGACTGCCTTTTCACATTTTTACAATCAGCTTTGTCCTTGGGAGTATATTTGTCCAGACAAATTGACAAGTCATACAATTCTGCAAGTGAATGACGATAGAGAAGTCGTAGTTCTACAGTTTTGCACTCACAAAGGTGTTCCCAGTGCTGCACAAGAGAAAACTAAATTCAGTCAATCAATAAAAACATCACCGTAAGGGAACAAACCAATTGACTTCTACAAATGAATCTGTCCAATTGACTTCCAACCACAATAATATCAAAATTACAAATATTCTCTATTGACTCTAATGCCATATGCCTATTTCTACTTGATACATATATTGATCGGGAATTTTAAGCATGTGTGTATGTTCATAATGTCCAGTTCACCTTGAAAGAACAAACAATCACCAGGTACAAAAAGGCAGTGCTAGCTTAGGTAAACAAGAGACACAGGAAAAGGAGGAGAAAAATAAAAACCACAAGAAAGAAGCCAGCCACATAATACAATAAATCCATACTCAACTGACCAACTTATGCAAATCCAAACAGTCATAGTGATCCTTATATCTGTCATGTCATGCAACAATATTTATTTCCCTTGTCAGCACAAGTACAATCTTGTAAGGACACAAACACAAGTGTATAATACACATTACTTATTTTCACTTACACAAGACATAAACAGACAACCCATATCCTCTTTTCTAGGGACAGGTTGATTTTCTGATACATTCACACTGCACATAGGGCAGAACATTGAAGAGAGCCAGAGTACTTAAATTGAGTAGCCATCTTAAGAAACTAAAAACTATCGGGTACCTCCAATCTTAAGTTGAATGATTCAACTGTGAAAATGGATATAAATACACTCTCAAAGCCGGTACACACTTTCTTTCATAGTAGTCAATCCCGGATAGCGGAGCGGAGCGGTCGACCCTAAAAATGGGATAGCGGGATGACGCGGAGCGGGATAACCGCTATTTTAATATTAATTTATATATATTAAATAATGAATAATATATATATATATATAAGCTAAAAAAACAAAAAATAACTCTAAATTCATGCATTAAACATTTTTAATAATTAAAAGTTCATGGTACTCAAACAATACATAATACAAAATGTCTTCAAAACAAAGTGTTAAAGCTCTAAGTAAAAAATTAAACATTATAGTTTAATTTTCTTCCTCATCAAGATTAAAGTCTTCCTCTCCCTCAAATAATAAATAGTGGGATACCATTATTCTATTTTTTTTTAATTTATATATATATATATATTAAATAATTTATAATACAAATAATTAATAATATACATATAAAAATAGAAACATAACTTAATTTATACATTAAATATTTTTAATAATAAAAATTTATAGTAGTTAAACAAAATAAAAAAAAAACAAAATAAAAAAATTTAAGAAAACAAAATATTTAAGGTCTTATATTAAATTTTTTATTACTTAAAATATTATCTGAATTAATAATAAAGAAAAGTTACTTTCTAAATAAAATAGTGAAGTAAAAGGCCCTTAATCAAATCAAAAGATAAAACAAAACTTGGCCCATCGGAGAAGACAGAGCCACCATCGAAGAAGACAGCCGCTGTCGGAGAAGACAGATCGACGGAGATCTGCCGAAAAAAGAAGAGAAGTTCCGTCACCCACCCGCGATCGCGCCGCCACGCTCCGCCGCTTTCGCAGCCGCTCCGACCGCTCCTTCAAAGCGCTCCGCAACAAACTTTTTGAAGCGGCACGGAGCCGCTCTGCTCCGACGCGCTGCAATTGCGGCCGCAACAACCGCTATTGACTACTATGCTTTCTTTAGCATTGACATTGATGCAATGAGGAAAGATGAATTAATGATGGCAATTACATATTTACATTATTTGAATATACCTCAATGGCTCAATCACATTCATTTACCTCCAAACAAACAAAAGTAGATGGCCTGCAACCACATACAACCGCAGAGAGATAGAGATATTGCTGGCAAATAATGCATGCTGGATCCTACAAAAGACATCGGTAAACACAATCAGTAAAGATGGGAACAATGAATTATGATTTTCTAATACCATAGGTTAAATAAATCATACTTCTTCAGTTCCCACATATTGGGGACATTTTCGAGGAGTCATGCGAGAAGACTTGATAATACCACTTTTCCAAAGTTTCTCTCTCCAAGATTTTTCTTTATCCGATATTCTCAACAATTCCTTCTTTAAATACGAAGACACTCTGCCATCAACATCACCATACTGAAAATGATGAAAATCAACATGAAAGAGGGTAAGCAAGAAAAGTCAACAAGTAAACTTTAAAAAAGTATTAGTGCACTTTTTGGAGTAAAAATAGAGTACTAAGAATTCCTCTTAAATAAGAAAGTCTCAAAACAACATAAACAAGGTTGCATTTTAAGGGACCATTTGGTTTGAAAAGAACATTTTCTATTTTCACTATAAATTACAAAAAAAGTCACCTAGTTTTCACTCTGTTTCCTTTTTGAAATTTTGTATAAGAAAAAGTAAAAACATTTTATTATTTTCATTGTTTCCTGCTTTCAAAAGTTTGTACAGGAAATGTTTAATTGATTGTACAGTACAGGTTTTAGAAAAGTGATCGGGGGCCCATAGTTAAGAGGGTCTATGTTAGGAGGAAAAGAGGGGACAATTAGATATTATGTTAACTAACTGATAGCTGTTCTGTGGAGGCAGTTAAATTGTATAAATATGAGAGAATCATAGAAGTAGGTAGGAAAATAGTGGAACAAGTTTGGAGAGATAGGCAATCTCGAATTTGCCCTGTATCACTGTATTCTTCCCTTCTAGTTTGCGTTGACCAGCAAGGGTTCAAGAACAATTTTACAACAGTCTTTCGTTTCTTTCAAAATCTTCCTTAATACCCAGTTGAGATCTATCAACTGGCATCAGAGCTGGTTGCGAACCTGAGGCGATCAAGAATGGAGAAGAAAATGGAGATTCAGATGGAACAGGTGGAAAGGGGCTTGCAAGACATTCAGAAACGCGCTGCGGAAGAAACAGAGTGGCGTTGCAACATAAAAGGAGCGATGCGCGAGATGCTGGACCAATTAAAAGAGTTGCACTCGACAATGGGGACAGCGGCAAAAAATGTGCGGGAGGGAGACGAGACGTTCTCGGGGTCAAGAACTGAAAAGAACGGCTAGAAATGGCGAAACCTAGAACTTCCTCTGTTTTAGGGTGATAAAGTGTTGGGTTGGGCAGGAAAAATTCAGAGGTATTTCAAATTGAAGGGGGTGTTGGAGGAGGAGAAGGTAGAGGTTGTGATGGTGGCATTGCAAGGGAAAGCGTTGGCATGGTTTCAATGGTGGGAAGGAAGAAATCAAAACCCTTCTTGGTTGGGTTTCAAGAATGCCCTGTTAAGAAGACTCCAGCCAGCGGTGGCACAAAACCCTTTTGAGGGGTTGTTGGGTCTAAAGCAAGAAGGGAGCGTTGCTGAATATAGGGAGAAATTTGAGACAAATTCAGGACCTCTCAAGATTGGAGATACAAATTATTTGAAGGGCATTTTCTTGAATGGCCTTATAGAGGAAGTTAAAGCTGAGTTGAGGCTGCATCAGCTTAGTTCTTTGGAAGAAATTATGGATTTAGCCCTCTTGATAGAATCTAGAAATTCTATTTTGAAGAAGGAGGTGGGAGGACCATCAAATGTCTCGAACAGAGGAGGGTGGACCAGGAGCATTTATGGTAGAAGGAGGGATGAAGGAAAAAAGGGGAATGATGAGAAAGCTAAGACAAAAATGGAGAATAGTAGGAAGATAGAAGGAAAGCAGAATTGGAGAAATATGATTGATGTAGAATACCAAGAAAGGAGGAGAAAAGGAATTTGTTTCAAATGTGAAGAGAAATTCTCACCTGGGCATGTGTGTAAAAACAAGTAAATCAGAATAATGTTGCTTGAGGAAGGAGTGGAAGAGTCCGAGGAAGAAGAGGAAATTCAATGCAGTGGTAAGCATTCCACCACTACTTTAGATTTTCGGAGTATGGTAGGTGTGACTTCCAAGCACTCTTTCAAATTTTGGGGAGAGTTACGAGATAACCCAATTTTAATTTTGATTGATTGTGGAGCTTCCCACAATTTCATTGCTGAATTGCTTGTGAAGAAATTGAGGCTACCAGTGGAAAGAACATAACAATATTGGGTAAAAGTAGGAGATGGTCATAGTGTGAAGGCTCAAGGGATGTGTGCAGATTTGGAGCTGGTGGTGCAAAGGGTTCCCTTGACACAAAATTTTTATTTGTTCGCTTTGGATGGAGTTGACATGATATTGGGAATGGAATGGTTAAGAGGATTGGGGGAAATCAAGGCTAATTTTGATAAATTAACCTTGAAAGTCAAGGTAGGGGGAGAAGTCTATCAGATTAAGGGAGATTATTCTTTGAGCGTATTAGAAGCCCCATTAAAAGGTACCCTCAAACACTTGAAGGTAGAGGAGGAGATTTATTGGGTAGAGTGTTGTTTGGCTGCAATGGAACCAGAGGAGAGGATGAGAACAATTCCAGATTGCATAAGACAGATTCTGGAAGAGGGTGAGTCTGTTTTTCAAGAACCCCAAGGGCTACCTCCTTCAAGAAGGCAAGACCATGCTATCAACTTAAAGGAGGGGGCATAGATTCCGAATCTAAGGCCTTACAGGTATCCTTATTATCAAAAGAATGAGATTGAGAAATTGGTGTAAGACATGTTGAGAACTGGAATAATTAGGCCTAGTGTTAGTCCCTATGCTAGTCCTATTATTTTAGTTAAAAAGAAGGATGGGAGCTAGAGGTTTTGTGTGGATTATAGGGCTTTGAATAAGGTAACTATACTGGATAAATTTCCAATTCCAGTCATTGCTCAGTTAGAAATAGAATCTATGGTCCTTTCCAGGTGGTGGCTAAGGTCGATATAGTGACTTATAAGTTGCAGTTACCAGAGAGCAGTAGAATTCATCCGATATTTCATGTCAGCAAGTTAAAGAAGGCCATTCCACCTGAAACGCAAGTGCAGCACCTTCCGATGGAGCTTTCTGTTGAATGGTATAAGAGATAGAAAATCAATAAGAAACAGAGAATTAAGAGACGCTTTCATCCGAGGTCGAATTCGAACCTCATGAAAATTCATTTAACTTTATTATGCTCATCCGAGGTCGAGTCCGAACCTCGCCAAAACTATGAGGTCGAGTACGAACCTTAGCGTAATTCACTCTACATCAATTTGAGGTCGACTTTGAACACTCGGCGCTAATAAATTAAGGTCGAAATCGAACCTTCACGGAAACACTCACTTAACTAAAAACCAAGGGCGAGTTCGAACCTTGACTTGGTCAACACAAGGCGAAGGCATCACCGCGTACAAAAACATACAACAGACATCAAACGTGTGCCTCAAAATGCGCAAATAGCAAAAATCAAGAGCAAACGTAAGCAAACAAAGAAAATATGCATATACAAAGCCATGTTTACAGAGTTCACTACATGAATTCAACAAAACAAAAGAGAAATAAAACACAAAAACATTAACCGCCCTATGCAGAGGCATTTTCACTTGAGCTACCCTCGAGGTCGTCCTCCTTCACCAACTTTCCAAAGCGGACTACCTTCTCCACGTGCATGGTAGAGAAGTCGAACCCCGGGGCTTTTTCGGTTTCCTCCAGCTTCTTCTCCAGCTCCTCCCTCTCCGCCTCCTGCCTCGCCAGCTCCGCCTTCAAGGTGGCGACCTCCTCCTCTTTGCCCTCAAACACGACCTCGTCACAGAGGCGCTTCTCAGCCGCTTCAGAGAGGTTACCTCATCTTCCAAAGAGCGAACCCGACCACGGGAAGACGTCACCTCATCCTCGAGGAAGCGCACCCGACTTCGGGATGAGGAGGCCAGCCCCTGCAGCTCGCCCACTTGAGAAGCATAGCTTTCATTTGAGCGCAGAGCAATCTCCAGGGACTTCTACACCCTTGCAAGATCCCCCCTTGCAGCTTGTAGCTCGGAGCTTAAGACCTTGCTCTCCTCCTTAAGGAACTTATTCTCCCCCTTCAGGACCCTGTTCTCATCCCTCAGAGGTTGAACTCGGCCCCTCAGTCTGGCTAGGTCCTCCTGCTGCTTGGACCACTGAGGCTTCCAGTGGCCCATAATGGCCATAGCCCTTTGCAAAAGGACCTGGGCAGCGTCAAAGCCATCCACAGGCCCGACCTCATCTATCAGCCCATGGTCTTCAGAGCTTAGCCAGCCTGGAGGGAAGAACTTCTCAGCGGTCGCCCCCGCGCCCCATAACGACCCCATGTCAGCCGAAGTGCTCAAATGATCCAATCGCACCTTGGAGAGGCCTTTCCCGAAATAGTGAGCTATATACCGGCTCCGGGAAGCCCCCTGCGACGAACCA